AAAACGTTGCACACATATCTGAATGCTTTCCAACTTTTGGCGTTGTCAACGGCCATTGCAACCTCACAGAAAAAAGGCTCAGTGCGGTCGTTGAGGGAGATAATAAAACATAATTCCGAACCATGCGGGACTTCACTTTCTACTGCTACACATTCAGGTTAGGTAGGATCAGCAAGTAAACTTTGCAGAATGGAAACCAGGAAGCTCTTAATCTACATACAAATGTTGTCTTGGTTTCCACGCTAATAAATCTTTCGCAAAAACTCTCAATCTGGCCTGCTGTCAAGTTTCTTACGAAAAGGGAAATCGGCATGCGTTGGATAGCCCTGATTTCTGTTTTTATTCTTCTTCCTGGGTGGCATATAGAATGTTCTTTTGCTCCACTTACTCGTTCGTTGTCTCCTGTTAAGTCACTTAACGATCTTGCAAAAAGTGCAGTGTGAACTAATCGAACAGCAATTTTCCCACTTCGGTACAGACCCTTTCTTTGTCGATCGGAGAGGCAAAGTCAGTTTTCCATTATCCAGCGGTTTACCTTCTTCCATTGAGCTTTTGAATATGCTTCTATTGGTCTGCACAGAGCGTCGGCCAGTTCTCCTATTGTGAATGGATTATGCTGACCGGACCATTTGACGTTTACTTATTCTCTTTTGCTTAAACAGACAATTTAGGTCCAGAATGCTTTTAACCAACGAAATAAACTGGCCCCGGTGTTCATTTACTGGTCTGAGCAACAAGGTCGTCCATGACACTACGAGGAGATATGAAAGTCTCCCTTTACATGCTGGTGTCCCAACGCTCAGTTGATGTAGACTGAAAGAAACTGGAATATTCAAAGAGTACCGTGATCATTGGTGGTTGATCTTATGGATTAAGCCCATATCCCACCTCTCGGATCAGCACAGAGTCTGGACGGTTTGGACGTCTTCGTTCCTTAGTGCATGCTCTTAAATTCACGTTGTGCATAGAAGCTCTTCCTCCGCCGCTTCCAGAAAAGGATGGCTGACTATGGCCAGGGGGTTGATCGCAGCCCAAGTCTGATAGTCAATATTAGGACATGGAACTTTTTGCCGATAACAATCTCATTGTTCGAACAAGCCTTACTCGGTTCCTGACGTTGTCCTTGAAAAATAAGTTTGATCATTAAACTACCTAAAAGGAAAAATGGTTTATTCCTGTCAGACTGCGACCTGGTGAAAAGACATAACAATAAGCAGTCCAGGGGAGGAATGCATAAGAGAGGGAGGGATAGTCAATATGACGAAGGACAACATGATATCGATCATGAGAGTCCCTGTGCGACAGACGTCATTTATAGGTCAGTATAGGTCAGTATATTTTAAGGGTAGTAGGCAATGCCTTTTAAAACACTATTGTAAACGATTCAAAGTTAGTTCCCAGATAAGACGCGTACTGTAGGTATCGCACTTAAATGCACACGACCTCTTGAAAAGAATGCATAAACTCAGAAAATAAGAGAATTAGCCCACGCTAGATACAACCACTTCGACAGAAGCCTGACTTTCTACAGCAAATGAACATCACAGAATATCCGTCAGAGGCTACTGACTTTTCAGAAAGCCGAAAATTCGAGAATGAAAAGCCGTTGTCCATATATATCGCTAAGGCAAGGGTAGTTGCGCGGAGACTTGGTAGAAACATTTCGTACCATGCGTGGCTTAGACTGCGCCCTTTACTATGATGCTTTTGTACCTCGCCGTTTCAAATAACATCGGGACATCCCTTTCAAATACTATGTTCAAGGAAGAATGGATAAGAGAAAGTATTTCTCCTCCGGTCATGTCGTGGAATCGCGGGATGCACTGCCCGAGGTGATTGAAATGTCCACATCGGTGGAGACATTCAAACATCGGCTTGGCGGACACATGCTGCAGCAACAAGCAGACAATGTGAATCCGTTAACATAAAAACCAATTAACTATGTGAATGTGCGATAACATTCACGTGACGCTGTCATTTCTTTGCATTGGTTCTAATTCTTTCGATTTTTATATGACAAATATTAAGTTCAAAGAGTGAGCCTATTTCCCTCAGATACATTAACTGAACTGAAATAAGTTCAAGTAATGAACAGTTGGTGGAATTCTTCTCGTTTGTGAGAGGCATGGTGGACTTAAATGGTCCACTCAAGCACAACAGACTGAGCAACCGTCCAATGTGAAGGGGCCAGTAGGCTCAAACCGCCCTCAAATAAAGGAATCAGTCCTGAAAACAATCTTAACTAGTACAGAAAAACAACTATCTTTCGGACCACAAATGACAACGTAATAACTCTACGTAACAGTTTAGTAGACATCGAAATCCATGAACTTAAAATACTGCGGATTTGCTGGCCATTGTCTACAGACGTTTTATTGTTTCAATTACGCTCCAGAGAACCTAGTAGGCCGAAATTCTGTGAGATTATCCGATTTCATGGTTTTTGATAAGCAAGACTAATTTCACAGCACATTTTCGGCGAAAAGTGGCCGCAAAAGCTTCGGCGTTCAAACTTCCTCAGCAGTGTGACCTTTACCGCTCCTGATAATAAAATCTTGATATTTTCAAATGTAGCTTCGGTGACGTACGAAGCATCCGCCAATCTCCCCGCCACTCGAAACTTCCCAACCGTCGCCTTAGCCAACATCGGCAACAGAAACAGATGAGTAACTTAACTTCGATCCTGGGTTCTCCTGAACTGTGCCGACAGAATTGTTTCCCAGAAACTTTCGTCTCAATAGACGGTTTTCGCTGTCTTCAGTTCGCGTCTCATGCACTTGATTGTGCTAACGCGTCTGCAACGAACACCACTAACAAACTTGCCTTCCACCTGACGTGTCATTTCCCATCGTCAAAATTTCCCCCTCCCTGCGTCCTCTGTGGCGCGGGAATATGGGAATACTTCATAAATACAAATGAATCACTGCCTTTACTATCAAGGAGCTAAGACGTGTTCAGACCACCTGAGAGAAGGAACTTGTACCCAATCCTTCCGCGCGAGGAGTCCTTCCCCGAGGGTAGAAGCCTAGTTAATTTCCACAGAACTCTGATACCCGAATGTCGACACGTGGTCTCGCACATAAGGCTCTCAGCCTCCAAGATATGTGCTGACAGCATTGCATTTTTCATTTCACATTGGACTACCAGCACACCCATGGAAGACGACATAAGTAGCCAACGCTCCTTTCAGAACACCGTCTTAAATTATGGTTCTCTCTCTAAAGCTGTCTTACCATTCTGGTAGCTAGCAGCAGGTCATCAATCGCCCAGTGGCGAAGCAAATTGCGGCCTATAGTTTTATGTCCTCTCTTGTTCCAAATGACGCCTCCTTCCCTTCGTGCCTATTTCCCTGCAACACATAGCCTCTGCCTCTCTACACAGTCTCACAACTTAAGACAACTGAATGGTGAATAGGGAGTTCGTCAGAAAAAAATACCTTCTCTTGCATGCACAAAAATGTAGAGGCTTTAACTCACAATAGTTCAGTAACTCACGGGAAAAAGTCAGAAGTTACAACAGGAACAAGCCAATGATCTCATCAGACTTGACGTGGCTATCGACCTGAAAAAAATGAACTCCAGCACTGTGCGGCTGCTCCTATCTCTTGGCCTGCGTCGACTCGTTCACGTGTTGTTGGAGACACTATACTATAAGAAATGAACTCGGTAATGATTGCTAGTTCTGCATGACATATACCCCTTCCACACAAAAGCCGATCTTGATGTCCACTTCCCATTCCAACAGCGGTTGATAATTTGGCTACCGAAGGGATAGGTGAACGGTTTTAACAGCACTTAAAGACCGTCCAAGGCGCCATGGAATATCCGGCGAACTATTATGGCCGCTAGTCTTTTCTTACATTATGAACTTACGGCACCCTCCAATCTAGGTATGATTACATCATTACTGAAATGATAGCGGCAACATTATTTGCACAAGCACTAATTTTCCATCTCTTCGCTGTAGGTGTACCGTAGAATACTCCACCAGCCGCCTGTGCCTTCCTCAATTACTATGAATCCATTCGCCGCTTCCGCTTTTCCCTTCATCCCTGAGTCCTCTCTTCACAGAGACTCGACAACATGCAATCACCCTTCCATCGCGTAAGAGTGAATGTGCTATTATACTTATCACGTTTCCATGATCTGCACTTCAATTACCTTGCTTCTTCACGTCATTGAATTATCACCTTGTTGGTTCTTAGAGCACTGCGGAGCCCGCCTCCGAGATTCAAGTGTTAAGTTTGGAATTTCTATCTACTTCACGTTCTTCTCGTTGAATAATTCATTGTATGTTTGTCGGTTACTCTATTCATCGCGGTCCACCTCCGTGCATCTCTCAAGCTCCTAGCTGCTGAGCGATTTCCCTGAAGTATACTATCCTTTCCGTCCTCTAATTTCTTGCATAAGTTTCTGAGTAGCATCCTCCCTCACAAGCTTTTAGCTCAAGTGCATAAAGAGTCTTCAATAAAGGCAGGTAAAATATATTCAGAGGCTGAATTGCCAGAAACCACCGACTCACTTTGAATGCGTTCTTGTTATAATATATAGAAGGATGAATAGATTACACCAACGGAAAAGGTCATTTTTTAAAATCAATAGTGTACATCGAAATCGGGCGCACGAAAAATCTATTGGTCGAGTCGAAAACACACTAAGATCTAGAACAGAAATTCTGGAATTTACCAAACAAAATCCTCACCTACTCAATAAAGAACTAATTTCGAGTTGCGCACGGCCTCAATGGTTGTGCGAGTTTATTATTCTGTTTTTTAAAAAATTGAACACATTGCGATTTCAAAAATTTGGGTAACATACTAATAATTACTTTAAAACTACAAGAATGGCATTAGAACTCACTGGAAAATTTTGAAGACTTAGTCTGTGAAACGTGACATACTCTGAGACGCACGCATCGGACTAGCGTCGACGCTTCGAGATCTCGAAGCAGTAGCCCAGAATTTTGGGAGACCAGTCATTTCCGTATTCCCTGAAAATAAAATGAACGAAGAAAACGCAACTGAGGAGCCTGCAGCCAATCCCACGGTTTTTCTAAATCCTTTCATAATCTTTAAAAGGCTAAGGAATCAGTTGCTGATGCTGTGACGGAAGCCCCTTCGAGTACCAAAATTGACGAATCAAATAACGGTAATCTGTCTTTTTTTCACTTTCACTGGTATGTCCGTCTTTCATTCTTATCATAGTTTCTGCGTTTATAAAAATAAGCCAAATGCGTGGTATATAACGTATGTCTTATCTTCGTGTCTATCATCTTTATTAATCCATCGATGGCTAGTATATATATCTAGTATATATCTAATGTATATCTGTATATATGTATATATGCATATGTGAGAAGGAGAAGACGCAGAAGAAGAAGAGGCGATGTCGGGAGTGCCTAAGATATCGTATATGATGTCTCTTACGATAAGGCGAATAAAACGTGAACAATGTTTCGATCGCAGTGACAATAGACCGATAGGAATAGTTGACAGTTAGGAAAATGATCGATTACCGTTGATCAGAGCAAAATATTACTATCTGTGTATGTTTGCCTGACACTTGATTAGATTGTATCTGACAGTCACACAGGATGTACAACAGCTAAGTGCGGAGTCATCCGACACTTTATTTAACTTTCTTTGTCCATGATCTCATCAGTGTGCACAAGTGTTCTTCGCACCATTTTATTCGTTCAGGGAGTTTTAAACATGTGCAGTTTTTTCTCACGTCCGTGTATCAGCACCCATGCAGACTGGCGTAGGTTGACTGTTAGAAATAGTTTTTTTGTCAGAATATGCTGTAGGATATAGGGACAATAAAGCGCTCACTGTCAACCTTTACTGCGCTTACAGATGGTTTGTGTTTACACGCTGGACGCTTGTTGTAACACTGCGCCTATGGCGCACGCTTGTATATACGCCCCAGCAGCAGTCGTTCGTTTAACATTCTGAAGTCTAAAATCGTGCTCCGAACACGTATAGCCAATCCTTAAAACCCAAGATTTCTATCTGGTTTCCATATGTTAACGACAAATAAAGATGTAAATTCATTTGAAGTTTGGTGTGGACCTTCCCGCACTCACAAACTGTGATGTCCGCCACAGTGGCACTCGGACGCCTACTCTGACGGCCCTGGATGTGTGTTTCTCGTCCATCAGTCTATTTGATCCAATCCATCCTTCATTCCTTCGGCAGATAGTCCAGCGCTTTCCCACTAACGTCCAGCTCCTCTTCCTACTCCGACCTGTTTTGAAAGTCATAGTGGCTAAGTCATGCCCATGACTTATACTGCCACGAAAAATGTCAGGGACGTCGCATACTAGGCTGTGGCACTGAGCGTAGTTTATCCAACTATCAAGTTAATTTTCCCTGGTGCAATTTTATTTGTTTTTTGATTATACTCTAAGTCTCTGACTTTTTTCATATTTTGAACCACTATACAAGTACTGTGTGCCGTTTTCCATTGGTTTTGATACTAACATAAACTCAGTCCTGTTGCCCATGAGGGTTGCACAAGCAGGCTGTGTGTTACTTTGGTTTTACGCAACTGCACATTTTTTTTAAACATGGCATTTGGAAGAATTGAAAGCATCGGTTACGTAAAAACTACCACTTTCTGTATAGCTCCGAAGTTGTTCCCAGTTTTTGCCAATTTCTAAAGTAAACGAACGGCATGGTCTTTTTGTACTATAAGTGAAATTCGTACGTCATCTCACGTCACAGTAAAAATGCACATTGTACTTCATAAATGCTGCGTTCTTAAAAGCTTGGGGACAAGATTAATGACTCTCGAGGTATGCAATTATACAATTAATCATGAAGAGTCGCAGAGGATCTCAAAATTTGCGTGCACGTAGGGCCTGCATAATATCTTCAAGTACTGCGTGTCTGTTTTGAGAGGAGCACAAGGTTCCATGAAATAACTATGACAGGAGTTATACGAATTTCAGCAATCAAGAAAAGGCATGTACACGACGTACGATTAACTTACATTACTAGGACTGAGGCGGGTGACCAAAAATTATCCTTTTAAAACCGGCACTTTATGAAGCATAAGTTGCTGTCGAATTAATGTAGGTGCCGCTTACCAGCACAATCTTGCTTAAGTATCCATTTGGTATCCGTAGGCATATTTAAGATTTGTGCTTCACACTATAGTTCATCGTTTTTCTTAACCAGTGGTGAGTGACTAACTTACCGAGTGCCGCCTTTAATACCGTTTGAAAATAGATTTCGGGGGATTACAGAGCGTCTAACTGAATTCCATTGTCCTTTAAAAATAGTAAGTTCATGAATGCGACTTCCGTGGGTCAATCCAATGACAAAAAATGTCATGAAGAAAAAGAAGAAGCAGGGGCTGTGGAAAAAGTACTTCCATGTTCAAGATCCCATAACATTCGCGAAATATTCGGAGCAACTTAATAAATGCCGCAAGCAAATACGGGTTGCCAGAATTTTTCCCAAATCCATTATATGCACCAAGACGTTTTATGGGTACATGCTCAGTAGGAGAAAACACAGGGACAGAATTGCATGTCAAAATGATAGCCCGCGAAAATTATAAGCTGAAGGGCCACAAAACGTATAAATACTGTCCCAGTTTTTTCAATCGGTCTTTACGGTGGAGTCCTCTGAAGACCATCAGGAGTTTGAAATGGGTGAAGAAAGGCGAGAGTTTCAAATGGGCCGAGATATTGCCGTCATTCAATTCGCTGCCTCCTCCGTCGAAGTAAAATGCGTCCTTAGTCAAATTAAGCCAGACAAGTCTCCTGGACCCGACGGGATTCCTGGGCTAATACTCAAGGAACTATCGATGGCACTGGCAAAGCCTTTTCAATGAGATTGGGAGACTGCTTTCACAATGGAAGACAGCCAACCTACTTCCCTTACAAAGGAGCGGTAGCATGATGGCAGCAAACAGCTTCAGGCCCATAAACTTGACTTGCCTCTCAAGAAAGCGATGGTGGTTCTAGCGAAGAGTGTTATGCAGCAATTTTGTGTAGAAAAAATCGTACCAAGTTTTTAGTGCGGTTTCCGGAGAGGACGTTTCTGCCGCTCAAAGCTGCCAACTTGTCTGGAGGTTCAGACTAGGGCTCTAGAAAAGGGTTTCATGACCGATTTTGTAAACATCGATTTCCGTAAAGCATTCGGTCTTGATCCGCACCAACGCTTTCTTCATAAATTGAATGCCGAGGTATCCAGGAAGATCTTCCGAGCTGAATCATGGCGTCTCTGATTGGTCAAAACATCGTGTCTGTTTCGCAGATGATGTCAGACTGGGTGAACGTGGCCATGGTGCGCCCCGAGGCTCAGCTCTCGGGCCCCTACTCTTCATCTTCTATATTAAGAACATTCTTCAATAAGTCGACTGCGGTAACAAAATGTTTGCCAAAAATGTTAGACTCTGACTAGTTAATAAGAGTCCGGATAAGCAGAAGGCCCTTCAAAATAATCTGCGCCCACTGCAAACGTGGTCCGAGAAATGGCTCCTATAGTTCAATGTGCAGAAGTGTACCGACCTTCATCTGCGTCCAACTGTCTGTCATTCAAATGCCAGCATGAGAGTATACCACCTAAGAGACATTACTCTCCCCGCAGAATCTTCGCAGACGGATCTTATGCGTCGATACAGAGCAGCATGAAACCAGCACTGCAATGCACCAAGGCTGCAAAAAACGCCATGTGCGTACTTCATGCGATCAAAAGAGCATTTTTAACCTTTGAAAAAGACCCTCCTGGGAACGTTTACGGAACTCTTGTTCGATCCTATCTGGAATTTCGTATGCAGGCGTGGCGGCCATGTCTTTCAAAGGACCAAACATGCCCCCAAATAGTACAACGCCGTGCGACAAAGCTGTAAATGGTTTAAGAAACCAATCTTGCATAGAAAGAATGAACTGCCTTAATTTATCCCCTCAGTATTGCTGGCAGCAGAGAGGTAACCTTATCCTGGTTTACAGGATAATATATGGCCTTAGCATAAGCTGAGCTTTGAGGGCATGTTTAAGTGGCACCTTTCGCCCAATCTTCATGGACACTCGATGAAAATACGCAAAAGAATGTCCAGGCAGGGCCTTCGCTCTGAGTCTATCAAATCATAGAGACGACGTCCCTGCACCTCTTTAAGAAACGCCTGGATGGTTGTGTCCCCTGATTTCCCTAGACTCTAAACCTGAGTTAAATACCCCGCCACCCGAAAGGTTGTTTTAATAATAATGCTACTTAAATTGTGTGAGTACTCCTTTTATATTGATAATTTTCACTATGTGGGTAGAGTCGTATCTGGCAGAATGGTATTACTGACAAAGACAAGGGAGACTGGAAAGGCCATTTCTGGCTTATTAGCTGTCGTCAGCCAGTGATAGCCAAGCCCGAAGTGTGGAACACCCGAGTCTCGAACTCGCGACTTGTTGGTTTAGAAGTCCACGCCTCTACCCACCGGGCCACGAGTCCGTTGCCCTGTCGGTATTCGATCGGGAATATACAGTTGTGTCTGACGGACTGGGGTGCAATTAATAGGGTTTCCAAGGCCAGTTATCTTTACTAAATAGATTGGAAATATCCTTGAACTTACGTTTTTCCCAAAGAATTACTTTCGCGCCTTACGACTGCTGATTTTAGCATTTTGTCGTCTAATAAATGCGAACCTCCTTAGTGGCTGAACTACACCGTAAAGAAGAGCATTCACTTTGAGATGCTGATAGAGACTTATTAAATTCGTTCAAAAGTGTTCTGCTTATGTTTGCATATCTTCTAAATAATTGTTTAGTGTTCAAGTCCATTTAAATAATTAGGTTGTTTTATTCAGCAGGCCTTAGCATTTGACATACTCCACAGCGTCCTACCTTGAGAAAGCGGTATTTTCTTCTGGCTGCTTGCATACTTTGCACATATTTTCTCTGAAAGGGCCTTTGAGTTTCATTCGTGTTTTTTACGTAGACGTATTGAAATGCATGGTATAGAGAGAGTGTTAGAATGAAATCGCCCGAATGGCTGCAAAAGCGTTTTCTAAACTGGCAAAAATCTGATATCAATAAACATCTTAGAATGTCCGTAGGACTGGTTTTATCCCAGACAAACCGCCGAGTAAGGTCATTGTGCTTTGACTGGCTCCTGTAGTTTTCAGAGTAACAAGCCATCTTAAAGCAACCATAGAACAACCTTCAGAAGCAAAATGTTTGAAAGCACCGCAATTACTAAAACTCATGACGAGGTTTTGGGGAGAGACAATTTGTGCCGTTTAATTCTCCTTTACAGCTTTTGCGACACCGAATGGTATACTATACATATTTTTAAACAACCGACTGCCGGGCATGCAGAACGGCGCTTTTTGTTTATTTGTAAGCGGATTGAAAATCTAAATTTTAAACGACGGATTTGATTTTTTCCGTAACCGTGATCAAATATTTAATATTTAAAGTACATATTGAAAGCATCCTTCTTGTTCTATCTACATTTAATTTTAATATCATATGGAGTAGAAAATGTTATTTCTTGTATACCGCGACAATTGCTTGAGAATTAAACTTAACGAAGTCTCTTTTGAGGTCTGCTATGTCTGAGCTAACTTGTCAGCTTGGTGATTTAAGAGAATGCTCGGATCTCTTATTGAACGAAAATTGGTCTAACGGCGTAAGAAAAAGCCATTTCCTGCAGCCAAGAGCATTTGACTTGGGTTTTTAAAAAATGGTCCTCTATTTTGAAAGAAAAACTTAAAATTCTTTGGCATATAAATTTTCTTATCCTTCTTATTCCTTATTTGTTCATCACTCGTAAATTGTCAGTGCTTTTTGCCAAGCTGGGCCCAGCTAGTTTAGTAAATCGTATAAGGCCACGACTGGCACTACCAAAAATGACCACTTCTTTTTTGTTTGCTGAAATTTAGTACAGGGAACTGCGGCGTCTGTTGAGGGGTCTACCTTAAAGGAAGAACCGGCGGCGACAGAGACTGCAGCCGAATCTGGTCCGCCAACGGAACCTCTTGTGGAGACGGCGGTAACCGCTGAAGAGCAGAATGTCCAAATCGCGGAACCTTCAAACATGCCCGCGGAGGTTACGACCCCTGAAGAAAACGCGGCCAAAGCTGACACTGATGGTAAACCGCCTGAAGGCAAGGAGGGGGAGACAGCGCAACCGCACAACGAGGAGACTATAAATGACGAAAAAAATGAGGATTCGGCTGTCAAGGCGATTGAAGAGGAGGTCGTCGATAACGATGTGGGTGACTTGCAGGCTGATGGTAACGAAAATCCCAAAGAGGATGTAGAGGAGAAGAAGCGTGAAAAGGAACACCAGGAGCTGCTGGAGAAACACAAGGCGCTGCTTGAGCGTCGCCGACAGGCAGGTGAACTGAATACCCAGTTCCAGACTAAGTTGGTTGAATATTTTCGTCGTAAAAGGGCGGATGCAGCTGAGCAGGCAGTAGGCGAGAGCGGCGGTGGTAGCAGCCTGGTTGACAACACGGTCGACTTCAATCAGCGCTACTCTAAATACATCGCCACTTTGGCCGAGACGCGCAATCAGTTCTTATCAATGAAAGAAGTATTAGACACTCAAATTGCCGAACTAAAAGAGACGTCAAGAGTACGACAAAATGAAGCGGCGACTTCTCATGAAAAGGTTGTCAGTTTCGTGGTATCTCATGCAAAAAAGGCAGTCAGTAACCGTACTGGCCGACCCCTGAACATAAAGGAATACGACTACTTTTTTAGCCTGCTAGCCAAAAAGGAAAAGTTGGTAACGGAGGTCCGCCTGGAGAGCATTAAGATTCAGAACGAAGTGAACAAAGTTGATGCCATCTTTAAGTCGCAGGAGGACCTAGCTGACGGCCTTCATCTAATAGACTTTGAACAGCTCAAAATTGAGAACCAGACTTATAATGAGAAGATCGAGGAACGCAATGAGGAAATAGGCAAGCTGCGACGTAAAATCGCAAATACAGTGCAAATAATGACCCATGTTAAGGAGAAGTTACAGAGTTGTCTTGCTGACAATGCCAACCTTACACATGAACTCAGTCAGACAGACAATGAGCTGAACGCCAACCGAGATAAACTGACGAAAATCAAGCAGTCCCGGGACAGCCTACGTGCTGTGCATGCCAAACTCCAACGATCCTGTGGGTTACTAGGAAAACCCGAACTCCTTCGCAACTACGAGGCTTGCATGGACGCTGTTTCGGCAAAGCGAGAAAGACTAAATGAGCTCAGACGGGAAACAAATAAATACCTACAGCGGGCCGAAAAATATCGCGAGAAAATCGAAAGCTTTCAGCACAGTCCTCGCATGCCATAAACCCAATCCCGCCATTCTGACATGTACTTGCTAATGTCCAAAATTAATACCTAACTAAGTAAACCAATTTTGGGTGGTTTAAACATCCTGTAAAGAATCAGTTGCATAACTTTTTCCAGGCTTGCAGTATCAACGACTAAAATAATAATAAATGTGGTTATTTAGCTCAGTTTGCTACAGTTTTCATTCTTCTTGAACTGGCGTAAATTTCAGCCCGTTTCCCATAGTTGTCGCCTAGTTGTAGTTACAGGTACTCTTTTGACAAGTATTTGGTTCTTCAGATGTAGAGTCAAGATAACTGATCGTTCATGCAAAAAGCATCTCCCCATTGGTAGGGCAATGAGGACGTTTTCGAGTTGGTTCGTGCATGTATTAATAATTAATGCCAAAAGCTCCGGCGTTAACATGGTCAACTTATCAGCTCAAGTGCGCTGTTCATTCCAGGACATAGGGATCGAAAGATTCCGGTGTTTGCAAGTACTTAATGTGCAAGTACCATCAGACGCCGACCAATGTCCTGTTGACGACACACAGTGCATCCTGGCATGTGTAGGTCAAAACTGTCTCGCCCCTCATCCCTTTCGCTGATCAACGACGTCACCTACGAAGAACAGGCCAAAATTAGCAATATGCTTCTGACGGCAAATTGTACGTGTTGTTCAAGTGATCGATTGTTTATCTTGTCTCAGAAGTCTAGTGGTACATGAAACCGGACCTATCGCTTTCGCTTTCGTCAAATGTTACTATGGAAGCCTAAAGCTGCTATTCTAGAATTATTTTTACCAGTTTGAAGATAAAAAAGAAGAATGAGCAACGCCATGGAACTGTATACTCTCTTTATCTTTTAGAAGTATAGAACACAAATGACTCGAGTGAATTAGCTTAGTAGAAGCAAAAGCAAACTTAAATGTAATAACAATTTAGGGTGCAGGTTGAGGTTATATGCGTCGTTTGGGCCAGATTGTTTGAGTCGGCTGTGGATGGAATCAAGGTCTAGGTCTAGACTTATTCAACAAGACAGTTTTCGCACCACTGCTTACCGAATTTGACTTCCCGTATGTGATGTCTAAAGTCCAAATACTCATTACCTTAAAATTATGCGAGATATCACTTCACAGCCAGGGGAACAAGTAAACTTATGTCCTCGCCAAAACACCTGGCTATCATCCAAACATTGATCGCCTTGAGGTACCATGCAGCATCGGAACGTCGGACCTCAAATAAACCCGTCCCAATGAACGCCTCTTCTTCTAGTGATAAAAGTGACATGACCTGACTCTGGGCTGTTAGTTTACGGACACAGAACTACTTCATTTAGACGCCCAAGGATTTCAGCGCTTGTTACAGTCGACTAGTGGGTACGAGGCATGCGGATAAGCATCGGGCCCGATCTGGCTCTAAATAAAGTGCATCCAATATGCATGAAAGGGGAAACTTAACGTTTTTCTTTGCTACCTAACATTAAGAAACAATAGGAATGGTGGGGTCCTTCACTGCTGGTTAATTCCATATCATATGGCGACAAGCTTTAAGCCCTCTCCTTGCTCATTTTAGCGGACATCTCACTAGCCGTCAAAGATATCTTTTATAAGAATCGGAGAGTCTATGAAATCTAATTCTTACCAAAGTAAAGGATACCTTTAAATGTGCTGGTCGCAGTTTGCTAGTACGAGAGTAAGAGCACTGCTACGTGCTTGCTTTAAGACACATCTTTAAAATTCTTTGGGAATAAGCTAGACCCCGTTATCGTCTGTACTGATATAATATCATGGAGGTGGTTTTGAGACCAGAAAGCAACAAGTAACTTCAATTCTTCTTCACTTGCGCATCGTGTTGACGCAAAGCTCGGCTAAAAATGGGACGTCTGTGCTAATTTGGATAACATTTGCAGACAGGATGGCCGAGCCCCACACTATCTAGGTATTCAATCATTGTGCGCAAAGGACAGTTCCTCTACGGAAGTTGGTCTGTTGACGCGGTCTACACCTCCACATCGTTGTCTTCATATTCGAAGAACGTAAAATTCAAAGTCGCTTTTTAAACCTACATCAGATATTCTCGAAGAATGTCGCACGAAAGCGAAAACCTGCGGAGATTGCTCAAAAATACGCCATTGCATGCATTGTATATTCCCTTTAAAGCCGAGCTAGTTGCTATTCTATATACAACAGCATGCAGTAACCGGAAGGCGATTTTGAAGCTTCGGCTACGTAGTCAGAAATGCGCATCCGCTAGCTCGGGATTTAAGTGATGAACGGGCCTATCTGATATCTACGTACTTTTACCCACTGCGACGTTTCACGTGGGAATATGTCTACTTTTGTTAGGTTCAACATTTAAAGTTTGCGAACTGCAATTAAATTTTTGGGGATGGTTTTTTTCAAATGCACCAGTTTCACTCATCTAAGCGGTCTAGAGTTTTGAAAATCGCCTATGGTCCATGTTTCTGTTGAGCTGGTGAATTTGCGAGGCATTCGAGTAAGCTGAACTCTGGCAGTTGACACAGGTGGTCAGTTTTCTGGAACAATCTCGGTCTTTTAATGGGATTAAAAGAACATGGTCTAAATATTGATGCAGCTTGAATCTTCGTTATTTGTGGGCTACTTTTCAGTAACAATCCTGGACCGTCGGGCATTTTACTACATTTCGAAAGTTTCGTTCTCATTAAATATCAGGATATCGTTAAACATGCCTAGACGCCCATACGAGTAATTTTTGCATTCACAAATGTCAAAAACACTGTAGCAAGATGAAGTGGTCTGAGGAGATATAGCTCACGAAGTGCTTGTTTAAGTTCTCGATACGCAATATACTTTTGACATCCCCGCCAATACCAAGTGTGGAGGGACCCATTGTCACCCATGTCACCCTCCGGCGCAAAGTGCAAGAAATGAGCGATATGCCTGTGAATGCTTTTATAATTAAGGGGAATCGTTCCATCTAGGAAAATTTATTGCAAGTTATCCTTGGTTTGTGGCCCCTTCACAATGTCTTTACAGTGTCACGGTGACAGAGGAGTTTTCATTTATGAATTCGATCAACAAGTACATACATGTGCAGAAAGGCTGAAAATGGGGAAACAGGATTGCAAATAGTAAGAGATGTGGAAATAGAGAATACTTTGAAATATTTTACTGAACTACGAAAAATACTCAGGTGGATAAGGGAGAAAACGCAGTCCATATTGGACCCATATTGCCCATAGTGGTCCGTTGAAAACGGTTACAGACGTGGATGTTGTCTCAAAAATTTACAGACTTGAGAAACGCAGTCTGATAGAGGGCAGGACTTTCACATCGTTGAAGGCCAAGCAGAAAATCCGACCCTTTGAAAGGAATATAATGAAGGTTGGTTTGGTGATGGTGTGCACAATTCTGTAAGATGTTGGTGTTATCAATATATGATCGTTGAGGAACATTGCAGTAGGGAGGCAGGGAAATGTTTCTGATTATGCCTTGTCCTGATCGCTATTTACGAGCAGAGGCGTAAAATAAAAACAAAATAACAATAGCAAATACCGCTCGAGAAAACCACGGTGAAGCGGGCGAATCGTACTTGAAGCCCTTAAAGCGATCGCAAACAACTGGTGAAGAGGGCTCAAACGAGAAGTCAGAAAACTTTGGGTTATAATAAAGGTCATCAGAACTTTCGCTGCAACTTTCGAATGCCTACATATGCCTACTATATTTAAATGTAATCGCAACACCTTAAATAAAGATGCAGTAAAACAACAAAGCCACACCAAATCTATCGAAAAATGTCAAAATCAGAAACGAAAATCCGAAAAAAGTTTGTGTGCCTGATTCTTATAAGGGACGCATGACGGCAGACGTGGAAAAATTCAAACAGTCAAAGGGACATACATGAGCAACCGTAAACGGAGTTTGCGACAGCCAAATTAAGACGGAAGGTATTATTTACAGCAAAAATTGTCTGTACATGCCTGTCTGAACACCAAAAATCGGCTGCCGACGACAATCGGCGTCCTTGACAAATAGGGCAGTTTACTCGACTGTATTCTGCATATAGACGATAGTGTTTGCATTGCACCAGGGCACAAGAGTTGCATGCAGTCGAGTAAGCTTGCAGTCAAACGGATGAGCATTCCCGCCAAGCGAGACGTACGGTTATTGCTCATTACTCCACATATCCGAAGAAGCTATTAGTCATCCCATGAAGGCACGCGGCATATCACCCGGCTGGTAATGCTCGTAGCCTAGTGACAACTGACATCTTTGTTTTGCGGTTCAAAACAATGCTTACTTGGCGCATCAGTAGCAGCACTTTTGAAATTCAACCTGCTGACCACAAAACGCTGCAGATAATAAATGTGGGCAAAAGGTTGCCAGTGAGTTCTGACCATTTTAAGATCAACCCTTTCAGCTCATCAGCATTACCTCCGGCGAACGCATCCAAATCGAGGGAACAGTTCTGGATGGACAGTGCGCAAGCGCACGGATAAACCACACTGTCTCTTCAGCGGCTTTCGACAGTTCTATCCAATTAAACCGCAACTGCAAGTGAATATCGAAAGCACTTTCCGGCGTAATCATTCCAGCTCGTCTACTGTCGGGAGCTAGCATGCGCACAGTTTCACTCATTCAGTGCCTTAGTACTGCGCACACACGACGTCTGCATCAACGCCCTCGGAGCCGCTGGTACTTGTGAATGCGGTGGGTGAGGCAATCGGAACAAGGAAGTCAGAATATTTTATGATAGATCAATCCACATGCAGAACCCTTGTGGATCCGACAGGGTGTCCTTTTAATTTTCCGACTTACTGGTAGCTTGCGGTCACGGCGAACATTCGTAGGCCCGGTTATTCAAAAAGCATGATTCTGAACAAGGGGGCTCAGCTACGTGAACTTCGCTCTTAATAGCGTATCAGGTCCCTTTGTTATTATTTTTTCTTGTACAGTATGCTTCTGTGAAACCAAAAGCGCGTCTGTTTCTCTGATACTGCTTAAACAGACTTTGGAATTATTGTATAACTAGCAAAC